AACATTCAAGAACCATTGCTTTGAAAAAGCACATTCTTATTATTACTTAAGAAAAATACATATATGTGCACTGTTACGTAAATATTGATAATAAATTCATCAAAACTCAAAATATTATGAAACCAGTAGCAAATGGAAGTAAACTCAAAACTCTCTTATTAGAGCTGCTATATGATAGGTTTCAGATTTTTCAAACTAACCGAAAACAACCCGAAATCCAGACTGTAACAAAAAGACATCAGAATGATAACATCATTTTAGCAGATCTTGTAAAATTCATAACTAAAGGTAGAAAAATCTGGTATAAGTGTGCGTTTGGTTGGTGTGTTCGTGTCATGATTCGAATTATGGTTCGTGGTTCGCTACAGTATTTTCTCACACAAAAAACACACGTAAATCGAGAATGGTTCTGAATAATGATTTTAAATCCATAAACTAAACGTCTTCTAAGTGATTCAAAAACCTACGTAAAGCATGAGAAGTATATTTTAACAGAAAAATATAAGATCAATCAAAATCATACATATAAGTAGCACACAAACAGAATTTTTAGAAGCTATATAGTAGGCTTATATTTGAACTTTTCAACAAATACCTGACATGCAAATTTAATCTTCAAAGATCCTCTCTCAAATACATGAATCATCATCCTAATAAGAGTTTATCTACAATAGATCATCAACAATATCCAGTTAGAATCATCAATTTCACTCAGAAACAAACATTTATACAAAATCTCAAGAAACTCATCTCTAAGTGTTTACAACTAACATGCATGATAACCCACGTCAAAAATTTGAATCTCAAATAAGATTTCAACAACTTAATCTCTGAAATCTTAGTTTCTAATATAAGGAAAAAGTTACCTCAAAGAAAAACTTGTTCCCAAGTGAATAGAATCTCAAAACCTTGATAGTTTTATGGTTCTAATTTGAAAAACAAGCTGAAATGAGATGGTTGAGTTTCTAGGTCATTTTCTCTTGAAAACTAGTTCTGAGTTTTGGATGAGAAATGGAGTGAGAAGAGAGAAGAAAAATGCTCTGGTCAGAGTTCAAGAGTTTTTGCTGAAATAGACCAAAAAATGAAGCCTAAACTTAATATAAACCATCCAAAATTGAAGTGACATTATAGTAGGACGAGTCCAGGTTTTTCTAAGTCTCTAATAGTTGTCATAACCTCAGAAAACCAGCTCTAAAGTATCCATTTTCTTTTCTTATCAGGTATCCAAAGTTTACTCAAATTGCTAACATAGCCTTCACACACAAAAACTCAAAATAACAACTAAATCCTTAACACATTTACATAAAACCATATAATAAAAATATAAAATAACAATTCATCATTAAATCAATCATAATAAACGTAAAAGTATCATATTAAAAATATCATTTTTTCTTCATAAGTTTAGCACATTGAGTTCTAACATCATGCTAGTTGTACTGCACATTAAAACTGAAAACTCAGTTAGTGAAATTATATGCTCAATAAAATCATATAATAATTGTAATAATAAAATGTAATGCCAATAAATGCATTGAAGATAAATGCTAAATGTAGTGCATGATTTTAATTTACTAAATATAATCATTATTAGTTTAAGACTTAATTAAATTTTAGGTATTACAATATTCTTTAAGGTAAATAAAAGGTATATCTTTATGCTTGAAGAAATATCTTAATGTCCAAGTACATTATATGGCAAATTCATAAGATTTATTTTAAAAATATTTTAGAAATGCTAAAAATATTTTAGAAATGCTAAAAATATTGTACTTATCTTACTATATATAAAAGCGTCAAAGGGATGCTCTCGCATGGTTTCGTCCCAAGAGGGACGAAACATTTCGTTTGTGAGGGGTAATGGACGAAATGTTTCATTCCAGTTTCTTTTTTTTATTTAGTTTTTTTTTTCTTTCTTTCCTTTCTTTGGGCCCTCTTTTCTTTTCTTTTGGCTTTTACCTTTATTTTCATTTTTACTCCTTTAATCTCTAATTTTATTTTTACTCTCACTCTTATTTAATCTTATTTTCATTTAAGTCTCTAGATTTTATTTTATTTTATTCTATCGACATGTTAGTCTCTTTTTTTACTTTTTTATTCAGGTTCTGTTTTTTTTTTTTTTTTGCTTCTCTTTTTTCATTTTTTTTGTCCACCTTCCTTCTTTATTTGCATTCTTAGTCCTTTATTTTTATTTTGTCTCTCACACTTACTTAATCTTCATTTTAGTCTCTCATTTTTATTCTTTTCTTAAAGAGTCCTTAAATTTTTCCCGTTGCGCAATCTCTATTATTAAAAAAAATTATTCTTAACTAACAACTAACTAAGATCTGTATTATCAAAAAAATATAAGTGATAACACAATAATTGAAACTAAACTCGCACATGGCCGCAACTAGTATGAAATAAAATTCTATAAGATAAAATTATAATTATTACAATTATTATAATAAGTTTATTTTTGTTACTTGCCAAAAAATTTAAATTTTTATTATATTTCAATACGACTAGTAAAATTTTAAAATATATTTTTTAAATCTAAAAAAATTATTTTTATACTATTCTAAAAAGAACTAATTATTTATCTATATTATTTTAATGTAAAATTAAATTTATTATTTTTTAAAAAATATATTGAAATTTTAAATTTTTATTATACTTCACTACAACTAGTAAAATTTTACAATATATTTTTTAAATCTAAAAAAATTATTTTTTATATTATTCTCAAAAAAAAATCTAATTATTTGTCTATATTATTTTATTGTAAAAATTAAATTAATATTTTTTTGAAATATATATTGAAATTCGAACCCCTAAAAATAGTGTTTCTATCATTCACTCCAAAATGAAAGTGGTCTTTAACTTTGCTAAAAAGGGGCCTCTGTCTTCTGCTCCATTTCCGATCCAAAACCCTCTCAATCAATATCTCACTCTCTCTCTCTCCTCCCCCTCTTCTCTCTTTCTCTCTCTAGATTTCGCAACCATGAAGCCCTTCATGTAGCCAAGAAACGCGATCTTGAGGGACACGAAGATGGAGTCTCCGACGTCGCCGGACACTATCGTAGCCAAGCCCTGGCCGTCGTGGAAGCAAAGGGGCTCCAAGGAGAACGCTCCGCCGTCGGATCCGAACTCTTTGCGTGAAGCACTCGCTTGCTATCTCCGCCGCCAAGGAAGTTGCGCATAGAGACGGTTCCCGAGTTCTCCATCATTGGAGCCTGCGAATTTGGTATCCAGGTATGGTTGGGTGTGGTTTCTGACTGTGGAGTTACTTCTTCTGTTTAGCTGCGGAAGGAAAAAGTGAAGTGTGTTTTTTAATCTGGAGAGTAAAATTAGGGCTTGATTTGGATTTTGTTGAGTCTCTAAGAGGGATTTTTTTTTCCATTTATTCAAATTGTTCATTTAATTTAACTCTTTAAAGTTTCTAATTGTATGTTATTGATTCAATTATCCCATTTGGCATTTCTTCCTTCTAAAAATTTTTTAGAATCCTCAAAAGGATATTTAGGTTTTACAAAGAAAAATGTGTTGAATTTTGTGTTGCTAAGGAAAATGATTTTTATTAAGGAAAGTTATTATATTTTCCAGTAAATAGCTATATGGTCAGCTTCTAAAGTTTGTTCTCCAAAGCCTAAACTGATTGAAGTTTCACATTTGGGTCTTTTCTTTTCCTTGCATGTTCAGTCTCAGAATCTTCATTACTCCTAAAATTCCTAATCCTATTATGAGTTTCTAGGTAGTAGTGTGAATGACGCCACCGCGCAAAGACAAAAATGAACAAGAAATGATAGTTCAGAAAATTTCCAATTTCTTTGACAATCAATAGGCTAACTTTAACATCGATTCAGTTATAGACACAGATGCAATACAGGCACGGTCTTCATGACGATGTGAGCATAGCCTTACATATATGTTGAGATAAATAACTTTCTATTGCAGCTTAATATTTTCCAGTTTGTGGGAGCACCTTTTGTTGAAAATTGTATGGCAGGTTTCAACAGTTCCGTTTTGGCACATTGAGAGGTATGTTGAATTTGCTTTTAGTTTGCTCTGTGTTTGCGGTATTATATAATCCATAATTAATATAGAGATCTTAAAAGCTTCTCCCATTTTTGATGGTCGTTTTGGTTGAAAATTTTCGACCAAAACGCAGTCGTTTTGGTTGGAAAAAGGCCCAGACCTTTTTTTCCCTTTAATCTATAGCTAATATAGAAATTTCAAAACTTCCTAGTGTTTTCAACCAAAACAAAAATGTTTTCATTGAGAATTTTAGACCAAAACGTTGCTATTTTGGATGAAAAAAGGGTTTCTTTCTTCTTCGTTCCCTTCCTGCTCTCTTTCCTAGCGACTTCTGTTCTCCTCTTTATTCCCTGCTCTCTCATTAGCATCCATAGCCTCTACCTCTCTCTTTCTTTGCACTCCACAACGGTTTCTTGGTTGCGATTTCCATGTTTAGCCATAGGTTTGGTTTCATTTCAGATTTATTTGTTCTTTCCCCTTCTCTCCTTATCTTATGATTTCTTTTTTAATTTGGGGTTTTTGTTTATTTTGGTTGAAAAAATGAAGACCATGTTCCTGCCTTCTCGACCAAAGAGTCATCCTCTTTCTTACTTTCTTCATTTCATTTTTTATTTATTTTTTTCTATGATATCCTCCTTTCTTGCTTGTCGCTTTCTCTCTGTTTCCTTTTTCCTTCTATTTCTCTGTTTTCCTAAGTCATTTGCAGTTCTGTCGTATGGAACTTCTTGAGTTGCCTTCTGATTGGCATTGGTATCATCTACAATGGGTAAATATCCTATTCGTGTTATGGATGTCTGCTTATTGTGTATTTAGTTTTGTTTAATATATCTTCTTATTTGATTGCTCTTAGTGTGTATTTAGTTTTGTTTAATATATATTCTTATATTCTTATTTGATTGCTTAATCCAATCTTTGCTTCTAATATTTATTTGATGTTTCGCCATATCATACATGCTGTGCTATTTGATAGAAATGTTGTAATATGTTTTATTGCTGGAGTGAGAAATAGAAAAGAAGAGAGAAATAGAGAGCTCATACTAACATTATAATTTGATGTTACTTTAGGTCTCTGTATATCAAATTATCAATCATCAAAAAGTGAAGATACAATCACTATGTAGTTAACTATTTCTTTCATTCAATAATAAATTAATCGATATATCTTGGTGACTCATACATTGTGGCGCATGTGATAGATCAATAGATAATTGTTGGTGGCATACTCTATTAATTGTTTGTGCGGATTTACCCCTATAATCAAGTAATTTTGGAGGTCATTTTGCACTTTGCAGGTGGTTTTGTATTTTACTTGTTCTGTTGGTTTCTTATATTCCATGTTTATATATGGAACTAATATAGTTGTCATTGTCGCTGTTGTTCTTGGATTTCTTGGGTTCCCCCATGAATTAAGTTTTTTTCTTTCGAGGTCATCTTGCAGGTTGTTTTCTGGTTTAATTTGGTTTTTGGAATGAAGAAAACAAATTGGAATTGAATAATTGAGAATTCACGACACCTTTTTTTTTTAAGTGTGACATCTTATTGGTGTTTTTCCCATAGATTTTCCGGTGTTCATGTATTAGGGGAAAAAAAGCTTCATTAGAGTGCATATGTGGTGTCCGATTTTAGTCCGTTTTCATATAATTAGACATGAGATAGTTTCATCAGAATGCGTATGTGGTGTCTGATTTGTCCGTTTGCATATAATTAGACATGAGGTAGTTTTAGTTTTAGTTTTAGTTTTATAAGTAATTATAACGTTTTTCACAAAAAAAAATAGTTATAACTTTTAATCGTTTAAACTGTTTTTGTTAAAGTTAAAGACTACAAAATAGCTAACAGTTGTAGGCCTTTGCTTTGCTCCCATAAGGACTGGGGTTCAAACCACCTCATGGGTACCTACATGACAAAAGTCATGGTTTCCTGCCTTCCAAAGATTGTAGGGGCGGAGGGCTCCAGTTGCTAACTCGTATTGACAAAGTGGGTTTGGGGGATTTTTGGGTATAAAAAAAAAAAGAGCTAAATATTGTTCAAAAATTGGCCTCCAAGGAGAATCTTATGTCTAGAGGTTTACTTAGAATTTGATGTTGAATCTTTGATTTTAGATAACTGCTACAGAGAGAAATATGCTTAAAGTGGCAAAGAGCAAAAGCAAGCGCCAAATCTACACAAGAAAGCGCACACCAGCTTAGCTTCAACTTTACCTATTTGGTCGACATATTAAGTACTGCATAATGTTTTGTCACCGCAATTAAACTTGTGCAAGCACGATTTGGTTCTGTAAGGTAATCTTCATGTTCTTTTTTTTTTCTTTTTTCTTTTTTCTTTCTTAAAGAAAACCGAGGACTATAATTAACATTGAGGTTCTCCGTTTAATGTTATAGCTGTAATATTGTTTTTCTTTGTTTATTTAGGATTCCTCTGTTTCCTTGCTTTGGTTGGAGAAATTTTGGTTTGGCGGAGATATTGGTTGTGAAACTAATTAAAAAAGGAAGTGCAAAAGGAAAAAGGAAATACTTCTATTATTAGATTTTTCTGATTTTAAGTGTTATTATTGACGACTTTGCATTTTTTGTTCCCTGTTGCTTATCTTAGCTTCAACTTTTTAGATTTGGATTAGCTACTACAAAACATTTTGCCATCAAAGATAAACATGAGCAAGGAGATTTTCATTCTGTCTATGAGGTAATAACTCTATGTTCTTTTTGTTTGTTTGTTTGGTTTTTGTTCCTTTTTTTCAAAAAAAAAAAAATAGCTGAGGCACTAGAGATCTCGTTTTTCTACTTTAAGAGAGGTGCCCTGGTATGGATTCCTAAAGGCTAAGGGCCTAGTCTCTTTATTCCCTTACCTAGCTGCCTTTTCTATTCTGAAAGGCTAAAGACTTTTGTAAAGACAAGTAGACAACTGAAGACTACAATAAAGCTCCATCGAAGTTTTTCTATCCCTTTTTTTATACTACTTATTCTTTTTCTTTTTTTTTTTCTCAATTTTTTTCCTTGTGTTTATCATGATGAGCTGAGGAAAAAGGACGATGTAGTCTTAATTTTCTTATGCATTCTCTAAAGTATTGTCGTATGGGATTGATCTTTGTTCTTCTATGCTTAATTGTGTTTTCAAGGAAGTTCATTTATTTTTTGACTAACTTATCATTGACCTTTGGACAGATGCATATGAGGCATTTGATGACAAAACTGCTCAGACAATTACATAGCCATATTTATACCATGGAAGGGATAAGGAAAGGTCATGCAGAAAAAAGTAGATAAAAGATATAGGCTTAGTTTGGTAATGCTGTAGATTTTAAAAAAAATGCTTTTAGCTGTGCTGAAAAAAAAAGCAGCTGTTTCAAGAAGCGGCTGAGTGTTTGGTAAATTGTAATTATAGTAGCTGTGCTAGTTCCAAAATCAGTAAATAGTGTTTGGTAAATTTTGAGGTGGAATTGCTGTGGGTATGTAAAATGACCAAAATAGACATGATATGAAATTTAAATATATATAATTGTTTTGGATATTTAAAAATACTTGTTTAACTTTAAAAACACATAATGTTATGATTTTAAATTTTTTAACAATAAATTTATGATAATTAATTCTCTTTTTTTTTAGTCTAATTATTACATCGGAATTCTTAGTGTTTCCTTTCCTTGGTTATTTCCCCCTCCCTCAAAATTTTTTATACACGTACTTGTATGAGATGATGAATCAATTTCTTTAGAGGAAAAACTTTGAAGATTGCAAATTTTACTCAAATGATAACACTTGTTTCATTGGATTGCTTAGTTAAATGTATCATGCAAGTTTTGATTAATTTGAACTTTAGGAGTTTACTTCTGATGGCAGAATTTGCTCACATGCTCACGGCTATAAGGCCCTATTTGCACCTTTTATCTTAAAAGTTTGTCCATGTACTTTTTTGTTATCCTTATTGTTTGATAAAACTGGTTATGGTCAGAATATGGCATCGTCAGGCACAATGATTTTAGTAAGTAGCAGAGTTTTCTTGCAACTTTGATCCCTGAAAGTTGGATACCTTTGTTCACATGTAATACCTTTGTTCATATATATTTTATAAGAAACAGGAAAGTTACCTTTGCTAATTTTTTTAAAACGCCATTGTTGATTAACTCTGGCCATTCCCAGATACATCTTCTCCTTATATCACCTTGTTTGCTGAATAACAGAACATAAAGTATATACCTACAAACTTTACAGTAACAGGAGTAACAAAACCCGATACTGAAACAAAACGATCTTCTGTTGATAATGCTAACAAAGTAGAGGGTACATGTTATAGAAATACAAAGAACCAAATACAAAATACAATCCCTCACACACACACACACACACTTAAATACAAACATATATATCCACACACACGTAAATGCAAATATATATCCATACACACACCCCACGTATATACCTACAAATACAAACTTAAGTCCTACAAATACACACGTATATACCTACAAACTTAACTCAAATGAAAAGATTTAAGTCGTATTCATTAAGCTTACTGCAATTTGATCACGTACTTCATCCATTTCCAGTGATAGTAAAGCTTCATTCTCTTCTACATTATTGTCATCTGGTTGATTCTCTTCATAAACGAAATCATCTAGATTATCCTCGACCCTTTGAAAATGTAGATCACGCTTACGATGCTTCCTAATGTAGTTATGGAGCGCCATTGTAGCAATAACTATTTTCACTTGCTTTGCAAACGCATAATTTGGCATGTCTTTCAAAATTTTCCACTTTTTCTTCCAGACACCAAATGTGCGTTCAATGATACTTCGAAGAGAAGAATGTGCTTGGTTAAATACCTCTTTATAGCCAGTTGGTCGACGACCCATTCGAAATTGTTCTAAATGGTATCGTTCTCCTCTATAAGGTCCAAGAAATCCTTTTAATTGTGGATAACCCGCGTCAACTAAATAGTATTTACCTATTGAGATACAAACACAAAGACTTAG